TTTCCTATCTTTCCTGGCAAAGTTTACTGACAAGAACATTTATTGCACTTAGCTTGGATCATCATATGCCCGCAAAGGACTGGTGGGTGGTGCCGTTGGTGATTCTGACAGAGAACATTGGGATATTTGATCTTGTTGCGTCATGGCGCAAGATCCTGTATTGACAAGTAATTAATGGGACATTCATGAAAAGGCAGAACCTGCAAATCATGTAGAGAACACCTTAAGGGAGAAGATCGTCTTAGACAAGTTAAACGAAATCATTATTTTCTGTGAAACATTAACATCCCTTTTTTTTTTTKTTGTTGGCTAAATTGCAACGAGGCCTCTGTGCATGATAAGGCAACCCAATGAACGCCTAATGAACTTCAAAACGGTTAGCGAAAAACAATTATAACAACCATTTAAACATATTTCTAAATGAATTTATGTCGCTAAATTGGCATGTACTAGGTTATTGGAATGAATAAATTTATTTCGTCAGTCAAAACGAATCTTTGTCATATCAAAGGTTATTGCGTAATTTAAGATGGAGAGAGTATTAAAAGTTAGTGACATCAGTAACGCAACGTTGTTTTCTCCGTCTACAAAACCGCATATATCTTTAGAGTTCGCAAGTTCTGGAAAAACATACACCTATAATGTTCCAAAGTACCCCCTAGCCAAAGCTCCAGCATATACCCGCACATTTGGGCAACCCCAGTGCACGCTCCAAGAACGTCTTGTTATTTGCTTATTTTACTTTTAGTATGATGTTCTTTCATCTTGCAAAACTTTTAAAAAAATCTGATGATGGAAACTTTTGCTCATAAACGTCCTGTGATCTTTATTTGCTGTAGATATTGTCACCCTCCCCTCCCTGGTTATAAAAAATGCGGCTGAGCATGCAGTTACTCTTGTCAGCTGTTTCTCTTCGTACAACAAATCCAAGATGGATGCCGACTTGTTGGGACATCTTCAAAACGACGGTAAATATTCCACCATTTTTCTTTCATCTTGGTTATTTTTCTTTAACAATCCCAATCATAGGTCAACTTTGAAACGTATACTTGTTATTCTCTTTGTTTAGAGACGTACAAACAGTTTCTGGAGGAAGGTTTTGATGCTCGATCGTATGCGAACAGTATCATTCAAGGACGAGCTATTAGTGAGTCACTGGCTAAGCTAGCTGATGGAGTTAGTCTACTGGATAAGGAACTACATGCCCAGGTGGATTGAACGTATACTTTTGTGTTTATATGCTTTGTACTTTGAGAATATTGTTCAATGATGAAATTTGGCCAATTTTACGTATGTATATTTAAAAAAATTTAAAAGATTTCAACCTAGTTTTTTTGTTTTTGTTATTTGTTTGTTATTTGTTTTTCTAGGTTGTTGAACATCATGATGATCTCCTTCAACAAGCAACTGGAATTGAAACACTAGAAGGTAATCTTGGTGATAAGATATAACATATGTTATGTACAAATATATAAACAATATCAACCACAAGAAGTGCAGTAGTTGATGAGCCTTGTTCCACTTCCCTCAGGTGTTCTACAGATGATGCAAGGAAGAATTAACTCACTCATGGCTTCTGTTGGAAGGTAACATGCTTGTCATCCATAAATTTGATGTCTGTGAATAGGCCCTTTGCAGTTAACAGTCACATGTCTGTACTGGAGGGCAAAATTTTTGTTTTTATATTAAATTGATGATTCGTTTTAGCTACTTGTAAAGAACTGATAGAATGAAAAGATGTGTATCCAGTGTGTTATGAAATGTAATTTTATTATGATCTCTCAAAACAGGTTGTAGAAAGTTTGTTTGCTCTCCAGTAAATTTCACCCATGGGA